TGCAACTGAACTTATTCTGTCCTCCTAATTCTATTAAGGTTTTAGATTTTTCTATGTTCCTACAATGAGTCATCCCACTCAGACTCCTTACCATGGGAGAAACATACATGGGGGGGTGACAGACAGCTGTCTCAATGGTTTGATTCTGGGGACAAAAAAAAGTCAGTATATCCACCTAGAAGTCTTAGCTACCTTGAAATCCTCACCATTGGAGATATAGCATTTATTGGTGTGCAAAAGACTGACGCAACATTTATCCATTTTGCCATTCCAGGATTTAGCATCTGCATCTTTGTGCCCAACACGTCTCTCTTGGTAAACCCATTAACCCGTGGCAAAATTGTTTTATTTTTTTCAGATTTATAAGCTGCCTTCTTAGGCCTGTAGAGGATAAACAATAGAGACGGTCAATGCCAGCACAAGACAGTTTCATGGCCAATAAGCCTCAAAGACAAAGGAAATAAGGAATCTATGTAAGGTCAGCAAAGCTTCTCCTTCAAGGTCAATTGGCTTGTGGCTGACCTTACCTATATGACCTTGAGATTCCAGGTAAGAAGTAAAATGAAAACAAACTCATATTCACTCAACTGACATTGTTTTATCCAAAAGGTAAATGCAGAATACCTTCAAAGTATCTATCAGATAAGAAAATAAAGTGTTTTTCCTGAGCACAGATGCCATGAACAGTTTTTGAGGTGACCACTTCCTTCTGCAGGATGATGACACAGGAGTTGGGTTGGTTGAGTATAATAAAGAAGAAGGTCCATGGTGACCCAGAGCTTCAGCCTGCTCCTTAAGATGGCTGTACCACTTTGGATCCCCAGTTGACCACAATCCTCCACTTATAATAATGTGGCCTCTCTCTCATGTGAAGCTGACAAATAACTATGCTAAGCACACATATCACTTCCATATATCTTACTTGCACTACTTGCTATTTACTCCCCAAACTAGGCTTCAGATGGTAGGTTGACCAGGAGGAGGCCTTAACCATGAATTACTTGGTTTTCCTTATTCCATCCCTGATGGGAAGCTATGGCTACATTCTGAAAGCACTGGGAAAATGGGAAAAGGGTAGAATCAATGAATGTTAAAATGGAAAGGCCTCAATACTATATGATCTCACTTATAAGTGGAATCTAAAAAAGTCAAACTTTTAGTAGAGAGTAAAACAGGGTTACCAGAGGCTGGTGGGGAGAAGGCAGACAGGGAAAGGGGAGACATTAGTGAACGGGTATAGATTCACTTAAACAGGATAAACCAGTTTTGGTGTTTTGTTGAACCACAGGGTGACTATAGTTAATAATAATAATATATTGTATATTAGCTGAAAGAGAGGATTTTAAATGTTCTCATCACAAAAAACTGATACATATTCAAGGTGATGAATATGCAAATTACTCTGATTTGTTCATTCTATAATGTATACATGTATCAAAACATCACATTGTATCCCGTAAATAATACAAATGTACAATTATTGTTTGTCAATTAAAAATCTAATTAAACTTAAAAATATATCTGAAAGGACACCTAGAGTTAACCCAGTTCAAAACTTCCTGCCTTATTTTACAAACAAAAACTAAAAGAAATTGATGTAGTGCTCTTTTATACATAGTCTGGCAGTTGGAAACTGCCAGGCTATGTATAAGGACCCAATATGGCATTTTTTTTTCAGGGAAGGGGAGATTCATTAGTTTTCTTTATAAATATGTTATCTTTCTTAATTGGAATCAAAGCAAGGAATGTGATCTACAAGCATGCAGAGAGTAAAAAAATTAATTTTTCCTCATTTTATCTTTCAAGTACCTTTCTGATCTATTGAATGCTTATGAATTATACTGACTGGCAGACTAAGACCATGGATTAAAGTAGATGAGACGCTGACAGGTCTCAACTCCAGGAATATTTTCCAGTCAGGATTCAAAGGATCCTAACCCCCATAATCTGATGTCTTACAGAGGCAGAATCATACAGCTCAGGTGATGGCAGTAGGGAGATTTAATCAGTTTTTTTTTTCTGGAAAAAATTCCTATACCATAGTCCCAGAGACATCAAAAACGTGGAGTAAAAAATGCAATTCCTACCAAGAGACTCAAAGTCAAAAACTGGGAGTTCTAGACTGGCAGAAAAAAATGAGATGGGCAGATGTCAAATCTATACTCATACCAAGTGGAAATCAGAAGTTAGTGAGTGCTTCAGCCCACTAGGAAAGTATAAGAAACACACACAGAGACAACATATGCAGATATGTTAGACCATGCACCATGCATCCCTGTGCCAGGAGGAGAGGACCTCGGGTCAACTGCCAGCTCTGGAATCAAGCTGAGTCCTATCTGCTGGTCACAGAGCAAGTGGACAAACAAGCACAAATAGAAGTGAAATACTAGATGTAAAAATGCGGGAATGTATAAAGCATGTATGTAGCATCTTGTAATTACTACTTACGTACAACATATGGAAACATATCTGCACATGGAAACATCTTGAAAACACTTTTGGACCATGATTTTCATGAGGTTCAAGAAACTCTTTTCTGATTTTTAGACTTGCAAGTTGGTACAGAAGAGAGTGCCGTTATGGAACTGGTAGGTTCTTTCTAAGGGTGTGTGGAGAGGTGGTGAATAAACAAAAGAAACGAGCAAAATGCAATGAAGAGTGCTAATATAACAGAAAATTCTACCTTACATGTTAGAGATGAGAGGCATACTCCTGTAAAAAGCCAGCTCTACGAAGAGGCCAGAACAGCTCGTAATAATAAAAATATGTACAATGGATAACAACAGCTCTAATAGTCAACAACCAGAAACAAGTATACAATAGGTTGCAGCAAGGCAAATGAAAACTACGACTATCTACCAAACATGAATGTCCCTCATGAATATAATATGGAGCAGATGAAGCCAGACACAAAAGAGGGTATGTAATCCATGAATCAAACACTAAAAAATACTAGTTATCTTCATAGGGGAATAGCGACTGGAAGGAATTACAGACAGGCATCTGAGATGCTGGTCATATTGTTTCTTGATTTATGTGCTGTTTGTATACTTTCTAAGAATTCATTCAGCTGTACACTTATGATCTGTGTACTTTTCTGCATGTATTTTCTATTCTCATTAAAAATATTATAGCAATTTCCCATTAGTGTTTCATAGGGACTCTGTCGCCTATAGGAATGTTATTAGGTGGTTCTTCCATAAAAGAGCTTGGTATTCAATAAGTTGAGAACTGCTGGGAATGACGTAGTTAAATAGATTCCCACTCTGCAGGACATTTCAATCCATGAGTGTGACCACACCCACCCTCCTGGATGGCCTCTGTCCCATTCACACTGCACCTCCTTCAAGTTTCCACAAGGTCTTTTCTCATATCACACATTTTGGCCATGTCAGAAACTGCATGAAAGAATGTGGGTCGGTCTATATAGCTCATTCTCTGACTGGAAGAAAACCACTGTCAGCACATACTGTATTCAACCAGTCTGGATTAGCAGCGCCACCTCTGTATGGAAGTGTGCATGTTTAAAATATGGCGCTGCCTGCTGTTTCAGATGGACCTCTCCATCCAGCACTCTTATGCTCAGGCAACCAGTGCAGCGAGCTGGCACATTTCATGTCATTTGCAAATACAATGTAGTGAAGGAATACAGAAAAGCAGATTTTCAAATGTAGCTTTTCACAGCTGCAATTTGGGAATGCTCAAGTGATCTCAGCATTCTCATGGGTTTGCAGCTCAAAAAACAGTTTCTTCCAAATACTTGAAAGTTATTGTGAGTTGACTCTTACAATCACTTCATTTTTCTAGTCACTTATGTCAAAACAAACCTTTGCTCCTTTACAACTGGCATTTTGCTTGTTCACAGTGGGGAAGACAGCTGCATTCACTGATTCAGGCTCTTGCCTTTTTCTCGTAAACTCTTTTTTACTCATTACCATGAGGAAGATTGTAGAATTTGGAACCAGTCTGTGTGCACACACACAAAAATAGCAATTCTGTGTTCTTACCTTTAGGACATTTTTTACAACTTTAGCTATTTACCTTGGCTTAACCAAGAAGCTGGTTTACCTCTAGCTATTTGTTTCTATCAAGTTCTACTAAAAAGAAAGAAAAGAAAAAGAAAATCACCTAAATTTAGTTAAATACCCCTTTGTGGTGTGGGAGAGGAAGAGGAGGGAGGGCTGCATCTTCAAAATGTCAAATAAGCAATTTGCCTAAAGCCCATCATTTTTCTTTTTGGCATCTGATCATCAGCTGTTTTCATCCTTTTCACTATGGCCCTAATCAGACATATCACATATCACTCACTAGTAATTTACAATGATGACAAGAAGAGCCAGACAGAGTATTCTGAACCACTGTCTTAAGCAAAGGCATTCATAATAATATATATCATAATTATATTATATTAATTTCATACAGGAGAATTCAATTACATATTCCAAAGAAAGTCCAGAACAAGCTAATTAACATCATGATGTCCGGTTTGGTGGGAAATCATTTAGATTGGAAAATATAGCTTCATGTCTCAAAGTCTACTAAGAAAACCATATTGCAAACACCAAACTATATCATTCTCAGTGGATAAACAGAAAATATGATTATGTTACTGAAACACTGCAGAAGCTGTTAAGAAAAACAGACAGAGAGAAAGAGACATAGAATAAAATTAAGAGAAAATTTTACAAATGTTAACTGTCACAGCCATGGTTACACAATCCTGAAGCAAAGCTGAAAAGAGTGTAACAAAATGACTGCTGGACTTGGGTTAGGGCCAAGACATCATGAGCCTCCTCATAAACAATATTTTAAATATGTTTGCTCTGGAGCAAGGAAAAACATTACCAAATGAACAAAGAACTATAAGTATTACAAGTTCACTTAAAAGCAAAAATACTAAGTTTTCATCAGAATGAATTCCTAGTACTGTGAAAAAGAATAGGAAATCTCATGATTGGCTTATTTATGTTCATATAGCCAGTAATAATAATTGCACCTACCTCGTTTAAGTCCTGCTGAGTTTCAAAAGCCTCCTTTGGCCAAATGGCAGTCCTCTGGTCTATTCTGTAAGATACAAAGAAAAATTATTTCCATTTAAAAGAAACTTTTCAATGATATGCATTTGAAGCTGGTGGCTACAAATCTGGCTGTATCCCTGATAAAAACCCTTGGTGGTGTCCCACTGCCTGCAGAATAAAATATAGACTCTTTACAATGGCCTGCAGCACATTACAGCACTTGAACCCTGCCAGCCTTCCTGGTCCCCTCTCCTACCACTCTCACTCTTGTTCACGACACTTCAGCCACCCTGGCCTTCTCTCTGTTCCTTGAACATGTAGTGCTTGCTCACTGTTCAAACTTTCACACTTGCAGTCCCTGCTCTCCCCTGGGATCTGCATACAATTCACTCTTATCCCCAGGTATGCATCAGCTCAGCTCACATGGCACCTCCCTAAGGAGGAGGCCTCCCTGACCAGAAGCAGCCCTCACTCTCACTCTCTACCACACTGTCCTGCATGTTTTCTTCTTAGCACGTCTTACTACTGAAATTCTACACTTATTTGCATGTCCACAATAAAGTATAAGCTCCAAGAAGGTATTGATTATGTTTATTTTCGATGCTGCTAAAACCTCATCTAGTAAATATTCAATGTCTTTTTTATTGAATGAATGTCATCTGATACAGTTGTTACAGAATGAAACTATTTATCTACTGAAGACAGCTTTTGGAAATTTCATCCTATCTCTTAACTTACACAATAAATGTTATAATAATCGCTGGGTACCACGGTACAATTGTTTGGATGTGGTTTGTTGCCACCAATACTCATGTTGAAATTTGATTCCCAGTGTAGCAATACTGGGAGCTGGGGCCTAGTGGGAGGGTTTGATTCATGGGACCTGTGGCAGGGGAGAGATGTGAAAGTGAGTTTTTACTCATAAATAAATTAGTTCCAATTGTGGTTTTGATTTGCATTTCTGTAATGATCAGTGATGTTAGCTTTTTTTCATTTGTCAGCCCCATGTATGTTGTCTTTTGAATATGTCTATTCATGTCCTTTCCCTACTTTTTTATGACATTGCTTGTTTTTTTCTTGTAAATTTGTTTAAGTTCCTTACAGATGCTGGATATTAGACCTTTGTCGGATCCATAGCTTGCAAAAATTTTCTGCTATTCTGCAGTTGTCTGTTTACTCTATTGATAGGTTCTTTTGCTGTGCAGAAGCTCTTTCATTTAATTAGATCCTATTTGTCAATTTTTTCTTTTGTTGCAACTGCTTTTGGCATCATTGTCATGAAATCTTTGCCTATGCATATGTCCTAAATGGTATTTCCTAGGTTGCCTTCCAGGGTTTTTACAGTTTTGGGTGGAGCTAAATGATGAGAACACATGGACACACACAGGGGAACCATACACTGGGGCCTTTCAGAGGGTGGAGGGTGGGAGAAGGGAGAGGATGAGGAAAAAATAGCTAAAAGGGTACTAGGTTTAATACCTGGGTGATGAAATAATCTGTACAACAAACCCCCATGACACAATTGTACCTATGTAATAAACCTGCACTTGTACCCCTGAACTTAAAATAAATAAGAAGAAGGAAGGGAGGGAGGGAGGGAAGGAGGGAGGGAGGGAGGGGAGAGGAGGGGGAAGAAAGACATTAGTTCCCTAGAGAGCAGCTTTTTGAAGAGTATGGCTTCCTTGGTTTCACTCTTGCTTCCTCTCTCAACATATGATCTCTGATCAAGCCAACTCCCCTCTGGTTTCTGCCATGGGTGGGAGCAGCCTGAGGGCCATACCACGTGCAGCTGCCCAATCTTGGGCTTTTCAGGGACCGTTATTGTGAGTCAAATAAATTGCTTTTCCTTATAAGTTACGTAGGCTCAGGTATTCTGTAATAGCAACACTAAATAGACTAAGCTGGGTTTTGCCACTACGTAGCTGACAACAGAAGAAAAATGAACTTAAGTTCTAAGTCAACTTTCTTTAGCTTACAAACAAAAACAAAATACCCAAAACTCCGCTATTGGAAGATACTTAGGTCCAAATTATGATTTGTCAAATTCCATGGTCCAATGCCATTTGTTAAATAGCATTCAAGTTTTTCTGCAACAGTCTGAATATTATTATGTAATAAACACATTAACTTATAGTTATTATCCTTATAAAAAGTCCAGTTATCTTAATGAATAAGAGATTTAGTCAGTGTTAAGTCATTTATAAAAAGATTTCTTGGGAACCTAATTATTTACAGTTAGTATTCTGCTCCAATTTTAACCCTGAAGAAAGTATATATGTGTCCTCTAAGAGGACAACAAGGTTGATATCTCAATGTCAAAATGTACATTTAGAAATGCCAGAAGCCTAAATGCCAGAAGCTGACTTCTTTAAAGTATTCTTAATTATGCAAAAATTTTTTTACTCTACAAGCTTTGCTTACTGTGCAAACAATTAATTTCTAATGAGAAAAGTTAAGGAGGTGGTAATAGAAGAAAATTGTGAAGGTCAGACTAATGTCCTCCATGCCTGAACAAACCAGCATTTTCCTCCTAGGTGGGAGAGAGACTAAGGCTCCCAACCACAAGCTTAGGCATAGACAGCTCAAGGGGAAAAAAGGTGAGGAGGAAGACTGCTGGCTCATGCATCTTATATCCGTCAATCCCCTAAGCCATAAACAGAGATTTCAGTGCATCAGAAAACACAAAATAGCTCTTTCCTATTAAATAGGCAAAAGCAGTCTTGGAAACAGAGGTAAACCTACCCTACTCAGTAACATCTAACACTTTGACTGTCTTATGGTTTCTTTGTAACTCTCAGTAGTTCTCAAACTATATTTCTATAGAGTAGCACGAGAAATATGGAAGAGTGGTATTCTCTAACAGAACAAATATTTACCGGTTTATACAATTCAAATACAAATTTCTCTAGGGCTTTGGCGCCAGCTTCCTGTTTATTAGTGATAGCAGGTGGTAAAACAAATACATAGCAAACATTAATGGAAGGAAGCAGAAATATACTTTGTTAAAAATATATGGTATATGTTAGTGAAATATAGAGAAGAGCCTACATGGAATATACTCACATGATCTTCCAGGGAAACTACTCTTAACCATTAGATAAACCTCCAGAACAAGTTTGAGAACTGTAGTCTACAGCAGCAAAGGTACTTTAATTTACTAACCACCTGAATGTCTTCTATGTGCCTGCACCAGTGTTGGGGAAGCAATAATAGACAATCAGAGGCACTGTGCCTTCAGGAGACTTACAATCTAGCGAAACCTTAAATGATGATAAAACGATTGAACACTGAGCCTTGAAGCCACTTCAGCAAATCAAGGATCAGGGCACAGCAGTTGACATTAGAATGGTGGTGAGAAACTGAAGAGGTAGAGACATATTAAAGACTTTTTTTCAAGGATAAAAGCAATCGATAAGTCTTAGGTGTGGCTTCGAAGTATGAAATGAAAGAGATGGGGTAATCAAAATTATTACAAACTTTTGAGCCTGTGTCACAAAGAAAATGGCAGGTGTTTTTTTTTTTTTTTTTTAATGAAGCCAGAAAAAAAACATGTAATGTGGGAGACACCAGGCATAAAGAGAGGCAACTCATGAGTTCAGATTTAGATATTTGAAGTCATTGAGGAGAGGCTGAAATAGAGAAGTAAAAATGTCTGGCCAGGGTCCCCCTAGAACTGGGTGAGCACTCTGTGTTCAGCAGAGCATGAGTAATCATTACAATGGTGTGCAGTGGTCACAGGTAAGTTCATGTGGGCAGATTCTGCATCACTTTTTGCTTCATTATGTGCTAAGACATTCACTAGGCAAAGTACCTAGCACCTTCTCGATATATATCTTTTCAATAGATGGATAAATGAGATAGAAAGAACTAGACCCAAGAATGACTTTAATTCACCAGCCCTTGCTACCCCAGGCTGGGTCTTCCAGGCAGTTTACTTACATTATTTTATTTAATCGTCAAGGTCACCATATGAGACTAACATTATTATATCTATTTGACCTAACAGGAGAAAGGGTAGTTAAATAACTTCATCTATTCAGTCAACAAATATTTTTTAAACACCAACTATGTGCTAGGTATTGTTGCAGGTGTTGGGAATAAAGCAGTGGCTATCCTACCCTTGTGGAGCTTATATTCTCATGGAAGGAGGAGAACAAAAAGAAATAATCCAGTGATTATTTATGGTGCACCAGATGCCAAGTATTATGGAGAAACAAAAGCAAGGCAAGAAGAACAGGACATGCAGGAGAATTATCCAGGCTCACACTGCTACAAAGTGTCAAAGTCACCTAGAAGTAATGAGAAACAGAGGGGGAAAAAAGAAAACCCACTGGATTGAAAAAGATAAAGGTCATAGTAGAAGAGAAAAAATAAATGAAACTTTTCACTGGAGAAGTTTAGCAATGAATGGAGGAGAACTGGAACAGTAGCCAGCCATCTCAAACTCCCGTCTTTTAAGATCTTATACTGCTTGAATCATTTACATTCCTAGCTGGAAGCTGGCCTACACACAAAAACTGGATCACATTGAATACTCCCTCCAATTCTCTTGCCCCCTGCACCCAAAACAACAATAGGAAAGTAATTAAGCAAATATAAAAGCATGCTTCTAAAGGTGACCAAAATGAGTCAGCCAGTCAGAGTACTCTGCTAACTTCAATGTAACCTTGTCCTCTAGCCCAGGTCCAGGCAATGAGAAATGCAGCCTGCACTCCTCAGAGCCTAATTATGGTCCTCAGCAGTGATGAGCATGTGATACATCCAACCACCACCACTATCACCATGACTATCACCACCATTCAACAACATCATCACCTAACACCACCACCACCACCATTAACACCACCATCACCAAACCACCACAACCACTGCCAACAACACCTCCACAATCAGCATCACCACCATTGCCACCATCACCACCACCACTGCCACTACCATTGCCACTACCACCGCCACCACTCACCAGCCTCACAATCACGACCACCAGCACCATCATTGCCACTGCTGCCACCACTATATAATTCAATGTAAAAACTACTTCTCAAC